AGAGCTGCATGATCATGCAAAATACCTGCAGTGTATCTGCCCTGACGTAAACATTCGTAAGTGCAAGAACTTCATTAATTAAGCAGGAAAAATATTGTATTTTATGTGCTGGGAAACAGAATTCTAAGTAGCCATTGGCAATTACATCTATTAGAGCTTTGTTTGAACACCTCTTAAGCTAGAATAGGGCTATAGGTTATTGTGTGCAAAAACCAGCTTTTCCTTGTTATATATTTAATGCAAGCCCAAAGAAAAGCAGTAAACACAATTCAACTTATGAGCCCGTCTTCTACGTTTTAGGCTGCAAATTGAACTGTCGTGGCTTTTCGACAAAATCCTGAAAATTACAACTTGTTGGTTATGGTGAGTATTTCCTGGTTGAGGTCTTAGCCATTTTTCAGTTGCAAATTTAAAAACAAAACAAAACAACAGTTTACCTGGCAGAAGCTGCACTGAAATTCTGAGGACCCATTTATAGCAGTTCTCTTATAATTGAAAGTCCTCTGTTTTCCTTGCTGGAAAGAAATATCTCAAATGGGAAGTTTTTGCAATTTTATTGGTAGAAAAAGGAGGGGAAGCCAGGTCTCTTGACATTCTTTCCCGGTTCAAGAAAATTAAGTATATACTTATCTAAAAGATAATCCAATAGATTATCGTGGAAGCCTTTTAGATACAGGTAGTCCCCCGGTTAAGAACACCCGGGTTACAGATGACCCATAGTTAAGAACGGAGTCTATTGTAGCAAAATTCGGATGAAATACACAATGATTTGAGTTAAATGCACAATGGTTCGAGTTCATCACACAATACTACTTACACAATATTATACAATAATACTGTTCTGGCTTACATACAAATTTGACTTAACGACAGACCTTGGGAACGGAAGTTGTTCTTAAACTGGGGACTACCTGCTACTGACATTCAATATTACTGAAAATACAGCCTGTTAATAAATGCTGCTTATTTAGCTACATTCTGAAATCAGCAAACGCAACTGCTTTAACAGCTGGGAATTCTGTATTTGCTTTACTTGAAATTTACCTGCCATTTTTTTTAAGGCTCAGCAGAAGGAAGTGAGCTACACTCGTATTCCAAGGAAGGTTTTTGAAAGTGATGCATGATGCTACTAATAAGGCGTCATGGTCATTCACACCACTTTAGAATACGCTCAGATTGTCTCTTCCAGAATGGAGTTTCCCTGCCCTTTCTGGCCAACAGATGGCAGGGTAATTCCTGCAATAAGGAGAAAAGGTGAACCTACCAAAAAAATTATCCCCAAACTAGTGACTTAAGCATTCTGATAGCAACACCCAGTTATGGTTGAAGCGATATAAGGCTTGTCCTCTTATTATTTTGACACAGCAATGGTTGGACAACTCTAGAAGACTCTGTAAGTCCCTTGCAAGGAAATACAAAAGATGCAAGAACCACAATCGGTTTCCCAACTAGCCTCCCTGAATGCTAAAAGGAGATACTTTGAACCTGCATCAGTAGAAAGAAAATAACGATACTTGCAAGCAATCACAACTGGAGGGTTTTAAACTCTTACATTCTGTACTATGGCTACAAAAAACGGGTTGTTCAATTTTTCAAAGGACCTGGACAATTTTAATCAGTGGGTATTATAATTTAAAAAATTGAATTAAATGCTTGATAATACTACTATTGTTGACTATTACCATAATACTATAGTATAGTGTTATACTCTATTATTATCCAAGGGTGCTTTGAAGCAAGACTCACTAGCTGGGTTCAGATGTTAACCCATTTGTGGAATGGGGCCAGCCACTGTGGTTTGCAAGGAATGGTTCATCATGTATAAGCCCAGCCAGCCAGGGCTTGTTGATCTGACCAAAGTTAAACACCCTACAACTTAGCTTTGAATTTCAGCAGAAATTAGAAATGCAGCAGGGGGGAAGGGCTGTTGCTTTCCTCTGCCTTTTCGCAGCACTCATGTCCAAGGGTAGATTTCAAGAAAAGGGGGCTACCCAAGTGGTCGGAGTTGCAAGCGGGAAGCCCCATGTCATGTACCTCCAAAGGGAGGACAGAGCAAGATTAGGTAGACAGTTTACCGAGACATGCACAAGCTAGATGATTTGTTCTAAAGTTCCATGTTGCAAGGAAGAGAGGGGCTGCCCTTGATCGGGAAAAAGAGGCCAGAAATAATCAACATCTCCAATTGCATCTGAACAAAACAGCATTTCAGTATCTGCTGACAGAAACCCAGATTGGCCTTACAGTCCCATTCACACCTGTCAACCAAACACCC